TTGTGGTTTCAAGCCCCTAGATTTTAACTGACTTCATACTGGAGGTGTCTATTAGATGAAAGCTGTTCAGATTACAAGTATTATGAATATAAGCTCAACGAAGAGCAAAAAGCTGTCAGAGACCAGGGATTCCCACAATTTGCAAAATGGTTAGTGTGTTGATTCAAGTATTCGAGCTGCAAATTATGTATGCCAAATGGGACCTTCAGAATCATATCCAGCTCGGATGTGACTAGGAGCTAAAACCTCTGATTTTTCCCATGGGTAGAGCCGTGCTTTTATGTATAAGATGGAAACGTGTCTTCAAATCTGCTCGTACTTGTACCTTCCACTTTGAAAGATGTATTTTCTTGATGAGAATTGAGCATGATTTTGTCTCAGCACTGTCAAATCTGTTGGTTGCATGGGTAAGTAGGTAACCAATTCTAAAATTTTTGAACTATAGATTCATTTCTTTTGTTAATTTGAATGATCAACAAGAAACAGTTCCTCTCTATTCTTTTTTCCCTGATTGATTTTGTTTCTCATATTTTATAGTAGCTTAGTATGTTCTTAATTTATTTTGACACCATAACTAGGTTAGATATTTGAAATGTCACATGCTATAACTCGTCACATTTCATTGGGTTCTTACTTCTTACTAACATTGACGCTTATGTTCTTCAGGTGGGTCTATCATCTCAGTTCCCAATTCATCAAGTGGTTTGCAGAGATCACATCATCAGCATTCAAAATATCAAACTCCTCCTGCTGCTTTATATGAACCTACAGAGAACACAAGAGCTTCTACAGCATCAGTATCAAGTGAAAAATATGGTATTATTTTGACACCTGTTTCTGGGATCAATTTTGTGCTGTGGTTACTATTAAGCATCATTTTTCGTTGGAAGAAAACAATTATTGATCATCCTGCTTGTGACTTGAATAAGGCAAGGAATGAATGGAAAATAAATCTTCTTCTTCTTCATCCTTGCCTTCTTCCTCTTCCTCTTCTTCATCCTTGCCTTCGTCTTCCTCTTCCTCCTCCTGGTCTTCCTCTTCCTCATCCTTCTTCATCGTCCTCCTCTTCCTCCTCCTCCTTCTTCCTCCTACTCCTTCTCCTCTTCTTCTTCGTCCTTCGTCTTCGTCTTCTTCCTCTTCTTCTTCGTCTTCCTCGTCTTCTTCCTCGTCTTCTTCCTCGTCCTCTTCCTTGTCTTCGTCTTCGTCTTCTTCTTCGTCCTCATCGTCTTCCTCTTCTTCGTCGTCGTCGTCTTTCTCCTCTTCTTCCTCGTCCTCTTCTTCTTCCTCTTCGTCTTCCTCGTCTTCGTGTTCCTCTTCCTCTTCGTGTTCCTCTTCGTCTTCGTCTTCGTGTTCCTCTTCGTCTTCGTCTTCCTTTTCTTCTTCGTGTTCCTCTTCTTCTTCATCTTCGTGTTCCTCTTCATGTTCCTCTTCCTCTTCCTCTTCGTGTTCGTGTTCGTGTTCTTGTTCGTCTTCCTCTTCGTCTTCGTGTTCGTCTTCCTCTTCGTGTTCTTGTTCGTGTTCGTCTTCCATTGCACTGATTGAATTGGCTGCATCCATGTTTTGGGATTTTTTCCTTCTTTTCCTTTCTCCCATTTTAAAGGGGCCATGCCATGGATGAATATTCGTGTGCTTGTGCTTGGGCATGTTTGAGATTCTAATGTTGAGAGATTTTATTGTTGATTGTATATGAATATACATTTTCTCATGAATGCTTTATGGTGAAAGCTTCAGAGATTAAAGGCCATCACTTGGGTGATTTTTTTCCTTCCGACGAGCTGGAGAAATTCTCGTCTACCTGCAATGATCCTGCTGCACGGAAAGCTGCGAAAGAGGCTGCAGAAAGAGCTAAAATTCAGGCTGATAATGTTGGTCACACAAGCTTTTGTCTAAAATGAGTTGGAAGGAAGGTACACCTTTACTCTTGCTCTTTCCTTTTGCTCACAAGCAGAGATGATTAGGGGAACGATCATGTTAATGAGTTAATTATCAATATTACAATATATTTCTACCTGCTGAAGTTTGTAAAGATGCTATCATTTTGAAATTATGATAGAAATCTTGATTCTCTACCCTTTATTACTTTACTTGTTTAGCTTTTTGGTAAGACGCCATGAATAAGTTTTCATATGGTTCTGTGCACGATTAAATGAGAAATAAACTTGAGGCCTTTTTCTGGATTTAGTATTTTTTTTTTAAATTTCTTTTTCCTCCTTTGTTCTTTGTTGCTAATTTGTCCGAACTCTTTTAAGTCTCTGTTAAATCACTTGATCTAAACGATTGAACTGTTAAGAGAGGTTGTATATCATTTAGCCCCCGTTTGGCCCCTCATTCTTGCCAAATTATAATGATTGAAATAGTTTTTTTTTTTTTTTTTTTTTTTTTTTTGTGTGGTTGAAAAAGAATGAAATTTTTTTGATTTGCATATAATATTATTTTATGAAAGATTATGTGGTTGAAAATAAGAGAAAGAGAAAGAATGAGAAGGAGAATGGGGTCAAACGGGGGCTTAAATTGTCTTTGACATGTCCCTAGAGATGTAGGCTGAACCTTCCAAATCAAATCCTCCCATGTGCACAATTTTTTTAAATGAGTGGCTGTGACACTTGAAATGAAGACCTTTGTGTGCTCTTAATCACATTATCTAAAAGCTTAACCTGATAAAGTGGGGGCTATCTATATCACTTAACTGTTGTCTTCAACATCATCTCTCTCTCTCTCTCTCTCCCCCCCCTCCTTAATGAGTATTGTTCACTGCTTTTGGCTAAGCCTGCACTAAATGTTTTCAGTATTCCTCAATACAAAAATAAATAGCTGTGTTCCTGTCCAAGTTTATGTTCACCATGGTCATTGTTTTGCTTCGAATGTAATGGTCTAAATTTTGCAAGAAGGGTTCTATTATTACTGGTTTCCTGATGTTGCCTTCTTCTTTAGAATTGGCTTTAACTTTAATTCCTTACATTATGGCACTAAGAGTTTAATGCTTACTGCCGTCTTTATTTTTATTTAACCTGCTGCTGAACTGCAGGTGAGGGGCTTGGGAGCTTGAGAAGTGATGATGCGAGCCCGGATAACAACGAACACTATCGAACCCACACGAGAGTAACACCAATCTCAAGAATGCCAATTTGATTCGAAGTTTACGGATTTAATTCCTAAATGATGAATTAGGCAACCAACGATACATTAAATCGAAGACCTCCTAATTACACAATTTAAGAACCTCACCCAAGGTTGCGAACGCCACAAGAAATCCCATCCGGATCCCCTGATAAGTTCAAAGTCCCGAAGAACAAAGGTTTGGAAGCAAATCGTCTCTTTGAATTAATTCTCAAATCAAAGCCTGTTCAATAATAAAAGATAGAAAATAATTTATACTACCCTAGGAAATAAGGAAACCACGAAATTCTAGAGTCCTAAAATAATGAAACTTGCCAAAAATAAGAAATTGAATCAAATTAAGATTCTCTCAAAAATTAGAAATTCGCGTATTCGGTTTTGCCCATGCGACCGCATGGTAGAATGCTCACAAAATATTTCTTTCAATTTTAAAACCCACCGCAAGTTTACGGTTCGTTAACAAGTAGTAAAATGGACTCATGGACTATGAGTCCAAGTATCGTTCCCACGAGGATTGAATTAGCTCTAATTAGACTAATGTGACCTTAACCGAATCTAATTGAATGAAAATTTGGTTTAAATGTGAAAACCCCTAATTGTGGGAAAAATCCCCAATTTGAAACCCTAATTTTTAAAGAAAACCCTAATTTCGAAATTGGAAACCCTAATTTCGAAATTTCACTAATTGAATGACTTAAAAACTCAATTAAAATGTAAATACGCAATTTTTGGAAGTTAATGTATAGAAATAAATTGAAATGCAATCATTAGGATCTCGAATCCCCAATTGACTAGCATAAAGCATAGGGGTATATTTCTATCCCCTATCGAACCCTATGTTAATTTATATTATATCGAATCTATTCCCCTTCTTTCGAATGCAAAGAATAAATCATCTAAACTCACATAACATATGGCCAATAATTATGGAAGCAATCAAATCATATAAATCAAACAATTGTCCAACTGAAACTTTATATTGAATTTATGAAATAAAGGAAATTAAATAATCAAAGGTTCATCGATTTCCTAATGAATAAAAACCCTAGCCTATGATTATAATTATAGAATCAAGAATTAAAACGAAATTAAAAGATATAAAGAATACACCCGTATGATAATCCTTCAATTTTGTGTGTAATCTTCAATTCCTTCTTGAATCCTTGTGAAATCAAGCCCAAGATTGTGTTTCTTGCCTTCAAATTAAGTGTATTTTTTCTCCCTGGTCGTTCCTGCCCTCAATTTTATGAGTTTGGGTATTTATATCGCGTAAAAATCAAGTAGGAAAAGAGTTTCAACGAAAACAAAAAACTGCAACGGAGGCCCCCGAATTATCACTATGCGACCGCATAGAAGGATTCTATGCGGTCGCATAGACCAATAAATTTTCCCCCAACATTTCCTGCAACCATCTATGCGACCGCATAGATGGTTACACTATGCGGTCGCATAGATATAACCAACTATGTAGTCCTTACATTTTGGTCCCTGAACTTTCCTTGTTGCTTCTCTTGACTTCTTTCTTCGATTTCTTCATCTTTTCAACAAATGTTATCTTCCAATTGATGATTGACACCATCGAATCTCTTGCCACTCATTTGGCTCATCTTTTGAGTATTTGCGCTTTAGTCCTCCAACTTTTAACTGTCTTCATTTCAGTCCCTCTTCGATTCTTTCTTCCTCCACTTGTTTTGCTTTGTCCTTGAGTTCATACTCGGCATGTTTTTACCCTCGTTTTGCATTTAGCTCAACTTCTCAATATTTGCACCTTTGGTCCTCGAACTATCACTTTGTTGAGTTTTGGTCCTTCTTCGACTCTTTTCTCCTGAATTTCACAATTTCCATTGAAATACCTACATTGCATGAATTTAATAAGATTAAGCTACAATTCAACCATTTTATCCATGTTTAAGTCATGTTTGTGAACCAAATAAGTGTGTAAAAACATACTTATCATAGAACTTGGTGCGGTCGCATGGTTGAAGATGTTGCTGTCTTTCGAGTTTCGGTAGCCACCTGTGCGACTGCATGTCTGCGACACGGTGCGGTCGCATGGAGTTGTGGTTTGGTCTCTTTTTCGGCTACTTGAATCACTTTGTTTCATAGGCTTCCGGATTTCGACCCCAACACGAAAGTTGTCACTTAGCTTATGGACTTCAACATAGTATGCTCCGTGCCTCGATCCATCAATTGTGCCACCCGTATTAGCTTGACGAAGACCCGAACTTGGTTTTGGTTTCTTCTAATCAAACTCCAATGCATTGATTCGTTTTGGCGAAACCCGTATCACATCAAGTGGAATTGCAACCCCCATTATGGCAGGCGATGTGAAAAGGGATAACTTGGGTGTTGGTGCTCACAATCTTGGTGAGGTTCTTCCCGAGGACGATATTGATGAGTAGTATAAAAAGCGAATGATGCTTGGTTACAAACAAATACCAAATTCTATGGTATGGTTTTCACTTTTTGCTTTATTTATTAATGCTCGACGAGTTTTTTATTTTTCAACAAGTCACTAAATTATTTTTCAACTGGTATTTCATTTATCATTGTTAAATATTGGAAATAAGATTGCAGAGTGTCTTTTATGGATTACTATGTTTCTCTTTGATTGCTTCTTGCATAACAATCCACGAAAAGTATATTACTAAGATCCCGTCTGGTTTGAACATTTCGAGTATTCATATCGAAGCAGCTGGGATTTGTGTTATGTTTGGTATGCTGATCCAATTTGACCGTTTATCGATGGAATGATATTTTTCATTTTTATGGCAAATATTCTTTATTACTTTAGATTTTCTGTGTTTTCTTGCCTCGTAATAAATAATAGTTACATATCTTAATCCTCGAAGGAGGAAAATGTTCGGGCTTGATGCAGCTGAATAAATGCTGGTTTTCTGTACAATAACGACACTTCGTACGATTTGTACAATAGGGCATGTTCAGCCAATTATGATTACTTTTAATTTTGTTATATATTTTAAGAGGAAATTGGGCCCCATGCGTCCTAAATGAGAGAGTTTTGAAAAGAATAATGCTATAGCATTGGTTGTGTTAGAGCATTGGATGTGTGATATGTTCAATTAAAGGTGAAATTATGTGATTTAGTTAATGTAATTGGTGCTATTACCTAGATTGGTATTAAATACTAGTGGTGCTAAATAGAACGACTCTTTTGAAAATGTGTACTCATTTTGAAACAAACTTAAAACATATTCTACACTTGCCTATAATGTTGAACTCTTTATTTTGTACAGATTAAACCATACTTCTCTCGAGGGACTTGGCTGATTTGGCGTTCAATGTTCATTTACACTATTTTATTTTTTTTGGGTAAATAATTATGTATAGATCAAAAATTGAGTATGACTATTCTTGGCATACCAGGGCTAACGAAACAAACATTTCAAAGATGAAATGACCCAAAGTAAGAGAATCAAAATGGATCTAACATTACATACTTCAGTTGATCGGGAATATGACTTGTTGAATCCTGTTTCTAACTTCCAGAAGATATGAGCAAGGAATTCCCTTTCTTCTTGTTAAGACCTGAGGTTCAATTTTAAAAGTTCAATATTGTTAAGGAAAGTAGCTCAATTCTTTTTAATTTGGTCTATATTTTCTTCTTTATTCGATGTCGAATTTTATCCCTTAACATGTTTCTGCAAAATGGTAGCTTGTTTTGTGTAGACCAATTTTGACATTCGTATGTTCATTTTTTGAGTCTTAATTTGATTGAATAGCTCGTTTGAGCTTAATGAACTTTGATATTATGTTAAGATTTAGAGTACTATCTTAAAAGGTCAACCTTGTTAAGAAGAGTAGTCAAATTCTTTTTAAGTTGATCTATGTTTTCATCTTTATTCGATGTGAGACTTTACCTCTTTAACATTTCCTATCTTTCTTCTTTGATTTGGTAGGCTTTTCTTCAAGTTTCCCTTTGAGTTTCTCATTGGGGAACTGTCCAAATTGGGGATTTCAATGTCTGCAACCCCCTGATCAACTCATGCTTGATTAAGGTTGGTTAAGATCAGTTTGATCCCCCTTACCCATTTTCGCATTTTGCTGGACAGAATCCAAATCATTAGAGTTTGAAACCAGACCCTGCTCCTTAGATTTATTATTTCCCTTCTTTTTCTTGGCCCATTCAAGGAGGGGAACATGATCATGCAGTCCCAGCTGCACAAATCCCCTTGCTCCAAGCTGTTTCACACAATTCGGTTTGCCTGCAATCGAGTTTCGGCATTGTTCTGGGTATCATTCACCACGTCAACCTTTTTTGCAGTAAGGTGGTGGCTATAGTTGGATGTTGTTTTTGGTATTGTAGCCATCCGTCGAATGGCTCCCAAGCATTTTACAAACCGTGCAAAACTTTGGCATATTCTCAAACTCTTGCACATGACAACCTACCTTTAGTAGATGTAAGTACATGTACATCTGTAGCAATTGGTTTTCCAACCTTAGAAGTAATCCTTCTTGAGGCATTGGGATTCCAACAATCCAATGGTAATCTGGGTTACGTGATTCCTACTGGCATCGTACTAATTTCCTTATCGTCAAACTCAAAACATCGGGGCATGGTATGGAGCGTCAATGGCCCATTAAAAATGGAGTACAGTCCCCCACTAAGAACCTGTTCTCGAGCAGCCTAATTTTCGAATTTCAAAACAAGCCACCCACCACTGTGTATAAAGTACTGATACTTGATTTTCCATTCATCACACATCTTAAGGAAAGCTGTTTATTCAAGAAACCTGCCACCAACGTGCCCAACAAGGCAGTAGCCCCAAGAAGATTCAATATCATCTACATCCAAGAACCCCAACACAACTTCCTCCGGCAGATTATCAAACATTTGAAGCTGTAATCCCTTACCTTGATTTCTGTTATCTTTAAGAAGATTAATCCAAGAGGTTCTAGGCGGATCTGTTTGTTTTTCTTGGGTAGAAATGGAGGGTTCAACAGTTGACTGTCCATCAGTTGTGTCTGCTGACTGTCCATCAGTTGTGTTTGTAACTTCATGTTCAGTGTCTCCCTCATCAAAATCTTCGTCGTCCTCTTCAGATTCTTCAAATTCTGTGTCTTCCTCTCCAAGTGTATTATGATTTAAACTCCTTCCAAAACACTTTTGCAGAATTTTGGACAGTACTTATTAAAGGAATGACTTCATTTTCCTTGTATTGTTGCTTTTATCCTATATGTACTGATCTATGGTTCAAGAAGGTGAATATGGTGTTTGTAAATCAAAATTGACCAATAGAAAACTTCTTGTCGTTGAACCTTCAAGCTTGTGATCAATGTTGATGAACATCCTTATATATTGGTGAAACGAAATCAAATTGGTGAATTTGATTTAGTTGACCATATTGAAATAAAATTAAATTGGGTGATCAATGTGATGCTAAGTATAAGTTTAGTGGTTATTGGTGAATTTAACATTTTTGTTAATTCATCATAATATAGAAGGGGTCAGACCGGCAAAGTCCAAACATAACTCGTGTCACTTACGAACCTAGGTAGCACATTTCTCTCATGCACTCTAGGTCATAACGTGTATCGGTGCAGCTGCCTTCTATTTTTCTCTCCCTTCCTGATCTTAGACAACTAAAGAAAGAAGAAAAACGATATACACGGGAAACAAAACCAAATCGAAACCCTAGACATTGGGAAATGGCAATGGCAGGGCGATTAAGATCGGGTCTTCCATACCTTCGCCGAGTCCTCACCGCCGACACTATCTCATCCGTCGCCTCCCAGAGATCCGCCGCACCGAAATCCCTCCTCCGACCTTTCACCAATACCGAGGTAATAGAATACAGCAAAAAATAAAAAAAATCGTTTAAGCACAGATCAATAAATATCCAGGAGGAAAAGAGACATGGTTTTTGTTTGCAATTTTTACTTTTTCTCGTTTTTATCTGATCTTCTGAGCTATTTTGGATTTGGGGAAAATCTGATTTAATATTTCAAAGAAGAATTATAGTAAATAGCTGATATATACATTTCTTATCAAATATAGCTTTTGTAGCAGGTAACTCTTTTGATAAATGCTACAGTAATGCAGCAAGAGATTTGATAACTCTCCTTGATAACGCAATAACTTTTCTATTATAAGTATCATCTGTAGAAATTTTCATCTAGTTGTTTGTTGAGAGCGGAGAAGAAATTAGGAAGAGCTGGACAATTTTGATATATGGAAAAATGCAATTTTGGAATATGGAACAGCGAAGGCTTCAGTAAGAAAATTTTGAAAGATGCCAAATGGAAGCTAACCATCATTTAAAATTTTCTTATCGAATGCCTTCACTTTTCATAACCCAGTTCTCCTTCCTTATTTTTTTCTCTGGATTATGAGGTTTCTCCATAAAACCATGTAAAATTTCTTCAAATAAGTCTTGTAATTGAAGAGGTATTGCTTGTTCCTTTACTTGGAGCGTACTTGGGAAGTGTTCATAAACGGTTTAAATTATAAATAAATAGAAATAATTGGAGCATAAGTGGGTAGTACTTGTAAGTCTTTCAAAGCGTGTGGATAAAAAAGTGATTTGAGTGTTATAAACATGAGCCAAACATAGGCTTAAAGAGAGTTGTTGCATTGATTAAGATAACTGATGGGAATTCAAGGGTTCAGAATGGAGGTTTTTTAAATCGAAACCTATTCCCTTGAATTTCTTCTCCACTCGTCCTAGTCGTAGAGGGACAACTCTCACAAGTCACTCTCGGTCGAGTTGTCAAGTTGCTGGTTGAGTAAAGGGACCAACTCTACAGGTTGTCCAACTTGTCAGGTGATTGAGGCGACCTGCAATGTTGACTGACGGAAGGCTTCTGAAATGCATCAAATAAACATTTTTTTACATGAATAGAACATTATTTTGACCAAAAAAAAAAAAAAAAAAAAAAAAAAAAAAAAAAAACTTTTGGGGTTTTTTTTTTTTTTTTTTTTTTTGTAGGCCCATACATAAATATAGTAGAATCAAAGATGTTAAAATGAACTTGTGACCATACTAGAGTGATAAATTAAAATTGATGATATATCTAACGATTGATGGTGTAAGCAAATGAGGATAATTCAAGAACGACTTTTATTGTCAAGATATGTCTTGCATATACCGAAACTATGCCACATTTTGCATTCGTATCATATTTTTTTCAAATATATATATTATTTTTCTTATTCTTGTAATCTCATCTTCATTTCTGAGATAGGAGGGTTAATATGTTGATATTCTGTAGGTTCCTGTGACAATGTTTGGTGTGTCTGGAAACTATGCTTCAGCTTTGTACATTGCAGCAGTTAAAGCTAATGTGTTGGACAAGGTCGAATCAGAGCTCATTGGCCTTGTTGAGGCTTCAAAGAAAAGTCCTACATTTTCTCAGTTTATGAAAGATTTATCAGTAACTGCTGATGTTAGAAAGAAGGCCATAAATGAAATTAGCACTCAAGCTAAATTTTCAGATATCACGAAGAACTTCTTGGGTACAAGAATAGCTTCTTGTTACCTATGAGTGTGTATTCTCAAATTGGAAATAAATTAATATCATGTTTCATCTTCTGATTTAGAAAATGTCTATTTTCACGGGTTGGTGGTATTAAGAGCTATGTAGCTTTCATCCCATGACAGGTTGTTATTGGTTAGTTGTTCAATTAGTAAACTGGTTGAACTTTTACATAGTTGCAGGTATCTGAAAAACTTGGTTATTTCGTAAGAATTGCATCATACTGCATGCATTTTACTAAAAAACCTCATCACTTACCCAATCTCATACATAGCTATGAGCGAACCTATAGGACTGGACTGGTTCCGCCAGGTAACATGCCTTAGCCTATTACTATCTTGATTAGAGCGATTTGAAAAGGATTTCAGTGCGCTTGTTGTCATCGCATTTTGAATTTATTGGCTATTGACTTGGTTGTCTCATGCACAGATTCAAGGTACTCGAGTTCTTGTTGGAATTAAATATGAATGGGTGTGGTTTATTATGTTTCAATTACCAAAAGTTGCTTTCTGCAAGTGTTTTGTGCTTGTGGCATTTTCTATCACAGTTATTTTTTTCGGAGCATGAGGATTTATTATTGAAAATCTCATATTCATGTTCTTCTACAGAAAACGTTGGAAGTACTTAAAAGGCATTCTGTTTTGATTTTCACTGGAAATCTATAATTGGAAAGAGCTTAATCCTGGTTTCTGATTCTTCTGACCTTTGGTGCATTTCATTCTTTTCATGTTTCTAGAAGAAAAAGAACAAACTTGAAACTGAGATTCCATGGTTTTGCTCAGCAAGCAGGATTTTATAGCTTGTTTATGATGCTAATAGTTACCAAAAAGTAGTATGATTGAATTACTGATATGGTTTCACCATGCAAATTATCATGTGAATAATTTTTATTATACCATCCATATCCACAGATTTTACACATCCCTTGCTTGTTTGCTTGCACAATCCTATTTGAATTATTTCATTTCTGGTTAATGATAATTAATACTTCTGATGCACTGTTGTGTTATCGAATATGTGCCCTTCGTGATTGACTCTTGTTTGTACCAGCTGTTGTAGCTGAATATGGGAGGCTAGCACATTTAGAGCGTATGGCTCAGAGATTTACTGAGTTGACCATGGCACACAAGGGAGAAGTTAAAGTCATTGTAACATCTGTGATTGTAAGTTCATCTACTTGGATTGCGAATTCTTTTTACATACTACCAAAATGGATTATTACATGAACTGTATATTTCTGGGCATAGTTCACTTTCTCCCGTGCTTTCTTCAAAATGTATTAATTGGTTCTGATATTGGCAGAAAAGATATTTCTGTTTTATAAATTTGAAACTGTTTAAAAAAAATGTACCTGCATGAAAGCTAAGAGAAATTTATGACCTTCAAAAATTTCTGAAATTGGCAGAAAAAGCAACATACCTGAAACCCCTCATTGCTCAGGGGCCTATATGTGAAATGAGATTCGGGGATTGAACTTTTTTTTTTTTTTTTAAACCTTTTGCACAAACTGATATAAGTTAATCAGTTAATTTTTAACCGTTTTAAGTAATACATGTCGATCTATCTTGTTTGGTAATAGAAGAACTCATGCTAATGTGGGAAAAATACGGGAGTTTTGATTCGTAGCTTTCATTAATATCTACTTGCATTTTAATCTTTTTTACACTGTCACTCGTCTCTGCAGCCTCTACCTCAAGAAGAAGAGAAAGAGCTGAAAGAAACATTGCAGGATATGATTGGTCAGGGGAAGAAGGTTAAGGTTGAACAGAAGGTACGACCTATTGTTTAACGAATATAATCCCATTTCTCGTGGAGCTATGAATGAAACATTCCTAATTTTCCTCTGTGCTTGCAGATTGATGCCAGCATTCTTGGTGGGCTTGTGGTGGAATTTGGACAAAAAGTTTTCGATATGTCCATAAAGACTAGGGCGCGCCAGATGGAGCGATTTCTGCGGGAACCTGTCAACTTGGACAGCTAAATGGACAAAATCAACAAAATCAAGTATGTTTATTTGGATAAATAACTAAGAGCTACTTGGCTGCCCCAGTTTCATTTCACAATGTTTTCCCGTTGCATTCAAATAAAAGCTGCCTGTTTTTTCTCTTATTTTCTCATGTTGCTAAACTTAGACGAGATCAGATATCGTTTCACGACGATTCTGTCGGTTACACTGTATTCCCATATTATATAATTTTCTACATTTTCTAACTCTAGCTTGAGGTATTGGAATATATTTTCAAAAAGCTTTTGGCGTTGGATAAATTTCGTATGACTCTGAGATTTTGGATTTGCTGGAAGCAAGAATTGATCCAGACTACAATAATTGAATTAATGCTGTGTTTCTAACGTCGCTCTGAATTTTGCCATACTCCTGGTTAAATTGGCCAGATTACTGTTTTGTCTGGTTTTCGTTTGTGTTTGTGCTCGAGTAACTTGTTTTATGCTTTCTGGGCAAGACTACAGGGTACAATCCACAAGTTTGTAGTTCTTACCTCGCTAGCCAAAGTCCAAACCAATTTATTTGGTGATCCTTATAGATTTTACTTCGATGATCAAAAATTTACTTTACTATCACCGTCGCGGCCCCACCCTCTTAGGTGAAAAAACACCCAAGCTAATGAAGAAAGAACATAAAGATTATTGTAATTCAGAAGAGAGTATGTTCTATTTGCAAGTTTCTTTTCAGCAATGCACCCAATGCTGAATTACACAGCAAGCAAAATTTGAACTAATTGTTTTTCCTTATATTAACTAAAAAGATTCATATGAGAAACATGCAAATTTCTGCAATTTCTTGTTTTTCCTTATATTCACTAATTGTTTTTAGCCTTTGTTTGAGCCCCATTTGAAAAACTAGATTTTGTAATGATAATTTTTTGAAGAATGTGTGGTTAGAAAAATGTTATAAAAATTGTTGAAAAGTAGGAAAAATGTTTTGAATTTACGTGTAGTGTTATTTTATGAAAAAAAGTATAGTTGAAATTAAGTTTTGAGAAAAATAAATTTTGAAATAATGGGGCTCAGACAAGAGCTTAGCTTGGCAACCGAGCCGAGTGGCTCACCCATGAGCCTAATTTTCGTTCATGGACTTGTAAAATAATGGGAACTAAAGAATTAATTTTTTTTTAAGATTAAAAGAAAAAATCTTGGGCTCATGGGCTCGACTCGTGAGCTCACGAGCTCGTGGGTCGAGCTAAGATTGACCCTTGAGCACAAGTTGAGTTCAAGATCTTGTCACTTTGACAAGCTGAGCTCGTGGGTAGATGGGTCGAGCCGACTCGACCCACTATCACCCCTATAGGGATGGCAACGGGGCGGCACCCTGCCCCGTCTAGCCCAAATCCTGCCTCGCCATATATGGCGTGGGGGGCGGGTGGGGGCAAGGCGGGGATGAGACAACTTTTTGTCTTGTTTATTATTTTTACTTTTTTTACATTTTCAAAGTTTCGAGTTATATTATTATTAGATAATAAAATACAAATTCAAAATGGATTTTTAGCGGGTGAATTGTCTGGAAATAAAATTATTTTTAATCTTTTTTTTCTCTTAAAGGGGCGGGGCTAGCCCCGTCAACCCGTTCGGGTCGGGACGGGGTGGATTTCTTTGTCATCATTACACACCTATTAGCCTTCGTTTGGCTTCCATTTTTGGAAATGAAAATATGTGGAATAGTATTTTTTGAAAAATGAGTGGTTGAAAAAGAAGGAAAAAAATTTCAAGATACGTGTAATATTATTTTAGGGAAGATTGTGTGATTGAAAATAGGAGAGAAAAAAATTAAATGTAACGGGGCTTATATGATGTCAAAAGTGAAAAGTCACCGTCCTTGTTAGCTAAAGGGGAGAATGATGTGTCCAATGGGAACACGGTTCAAACATCGATTTTTTTCATTCAATTTTTATATCTTTTTAAATGAAATCTTATTTAGAAAATTAAATATTAAAAAAAAAAAAAAAGGAATGTAAATAGCAATATTCTAAACCTTACCTTGCCTCTCGAGATCCCGATAAGGTGATGAGGACAATATTTTAAGGAATTTGCTACAATGACGTGGAGTGTATTTGCCCCTCACATGGGGGGCGTGTCCCATGCATTTATTGGGTGTGGGACCGGACCCCCATGTGAGGGGTGGCCGGGTGGGTAATCCATAATTAATATAGTGTTAAATGTACAATTTCATGCATCAGATACTCGATGTTGAGTAAAGTGTAGTAAGTTATTTTGTGTGTGTAAAAGTAAAACGTTGAGCAACATGAACTCGGCCGAGTAACTATAAATTATATTAATATATATCGATACTATCACATTTTGCAGATACTTTTTTCACATGTCGTTTTGTATTAGGCTCGAGTGTATCTCAAATTGCTATCCGATCCAGCAAAATTTTGGCCAAGATTAGAATTTTCGAGATGCCACATCAGCATTAGTGGGTCCATCTTAGCCACGTGTACACATTTGGCCATCGGTACAACAAGACTTATATGCATGTATTTCTCTCGTCTAGTTTATTGGGTGTTTTACACTGTAAGCATTGCACTGGAAGAGACACAGATTTAAGGATATCTGTGGACAGATAATTTGCTTAAAAATGTGGTTAACTTTAAGATATCCTTGCAATTAATGTCGCTCTCCATGTCTGGATCGACAGAGATGTATCTTGCCATGCTTAGCTTATCTTGTTATAGGGGCGGACCCACATGGGTTCATGTGGGGTCAAACGACCTCACAATTTTTTGGATTTTTTTCCTTGCTTAAAACGTAATTTTCTGTCAAAGTAACGAGTCAACCCAATTAATTTCCCTAATCCAATGCCCAAAAAGTCCAAACCCAAATTCTATTGTAGTAGCATATAGTTTTATTTTCGTTAATGATACGTTGTTTGAAAAAAATTTCATTTTTGACCCCACTGTTCAAACTGTCTGAGTCCGGCCCTAGGGATAGGTGTGTCGAGAGAGAGAGAGAGAAGGCTTTGTGCGGTTGTAAACTAAAAACCGTGCTGCATTCTCAGGGCCACATATTAAATACAGGTTATACGAATAATAACGACTCTCGATAAATTTCAAATCAATTCTGTAAATCTTTTCTTTGTTCTGTTTGATTAACTAATATCGTGAGACATATAACACATGATGATAGTTGTGATCAATTCATTGCTCTTCCAACTCTTTTTACGATATTGCGTTACTCTTACAAATGAAAAATTATTATTTAGCAATTGTTTTAATATTGATGGAATAAAAAACTGAATGGAGAGGGACCTTCAAGTGGGAGGAAGAAAGGGGCAGTTGGTCTTTGTCTTTTTTTGATTCACTTTTCTTCACTCACAAGCTAATTATGTGTGCTAGAAATTGGACATGTATTTTGCTTCCACTTCACATAATCCCTCTAACCCTTTCTTTTTCTCATCATGTTCATCTATATACCTTCATCATTAGAGTCGCAACAAGAAATTTAAGTAAAAGTTCATTGGAAACCTCATTTGAGATTAATAATGAGGAAGCCTACGCCAGATTCAGTGATTAGGGACAAAGGGAATCACAAGAACAAGATCAAATTTAGGAAGGGATTGTGGTCACCGGAAGAAGACGAGAAGCTGATGAATTACATGTTAATAAATGGACAAGGGTGTTGGAGTGATATAGCTAGAAATGCAGGATTGCAGAGGTGTGGCAAGAGTTGTCGCCTTCGTTGGATTAATTATTTGAGACCTGACCTTAAGCGCGGTGCAATTTCCCCACAAGAAGAAGAACTAATCCTTCATTTGCATTCCGTTCTTGGCAATAGGTACTCTCTCTCTCTCTCTGTATATAATTTTTTTGATTCTATGCTTCCATGATGAGTTTTCTGTTGAACCAACAATTCTAAAAGCTTAAGCAGTCTTAGAGATGGCAAATGTATTAATTTAAATATTTTCTTAATTCATCGTCGTTCTTCATGTGCTTTCAATTAGATGTCAGAGTAGACAAAACACTCACGCGTTCAATTTTTTCCACTATATCCATACGTGAAATTGTGCATGTACATATTGAGCCTACAGCGAGCACTTGTGCTGAACATAAAATTCTATATAAATATATTTGTCTCATGTCTCGAAGTGGCTTTCAGATGAGGTGATTTAACATTCTCATAGCTTCAAATGACCTTAACTGATAGCAATGAACTTGAGTTGGGGAATATGAGTCGAAGCAATAGCTAGAATATTACTAGTAGAAAATCTTTCAGAGAGATGAAGTTGATCAAGTATTCATGTTTAATGTGCACCAGGTGGTCTCAAATTGCTGCACGTCTTCCAGGGAGAACAGACAACAAAATTAAGAATTTTTGGAATTCTTCAATACAGAAGAGGTTGAAAAATAATAATCTCACTTCAACAACATTCTCTCCAAACAAATGCAGTACTGTCTCAATATCAGATACTGTTACAGGAGGAATGATAATGCCTTTGCACGACTACTCATATAACGTTGTAAACACATGCATAGATTCATCTTCTTCGAGCAGCCATTTCAACCCTTTTCCGCCAGTTGACAACAGTTTCGACGCAAATGGTTCATCTGTAGTAGTTTCATTAAACTTGCCGACATATGTGACACATTTTGGTACTGCAACAGGAAATCGAGGGGGATTAGAGGATTATGGAGTGACGGAACAGTGTTTAATGGGGTTCGAAAATGGCATTTGTGTTCCTTTCGAGGTTGACGACATTAATAATGGCGTCATGAGTAGTAATTATGTCTTTGACAAGAAAAAGGTCATTAATAATAACTTGAATAATACTGAAAGCATGAAATTAGAGGATATGGTTGGGTTTGGAAATCATTGGCAAGGAGAAAACTTCGAAGTTGGAGAATTAGATTGGGAGCGTTTGTTGGCTAATATCAAGTCTTTACCTTATCTTGATTTCTAAGTTCAATAATCTCTCTCTTTCTGAATAAATGTTGAGACACTTCTTGAGTTTTGGTGGATCAAATTGTGAATATATAAGTGAAGAAGAAATAAAGGTACTGTCAATTCAGCGAAAGATAATTAAGATTTTCTTTTGTCCATTAAGCTCATTCCTCTTTATTCGCCAAAATTTGTTCCTAAGATCTCTCTTTCATCGCCAACCAGTGCATCTCATTTGTCCATTCCTAAGTCGAACTAAGCGACCACTCAGCTCTTTGTCAGCAGCCAACAGCAGTTTCAAGATGATTGCTGATCTATTTCACATTTTTTCTTGTAATTCATAGTTTCGTCATGTGAATGTCTTTGGTTCACGAGGAAACAATGATAAGTGTATTTTATATACTTATTCGAGACTTTAAAATAAAGATATTTGATGGTTCTTTTTACAAATTATATCCTAAATTGTTGTTTCTTATTTTTAATAGGTAAATTCTATGAATGAAAAAGGAATTGAAGGAATGAAGCAAAAAAAGGGCGAAATCCAAAAGTTGGGGGCCAAGTTGTAAAAATTCAATAGTTGATTCGGACCATGAATCAAAGATTGAAATGTTTGGAGGTCAAATTGAATAATTTAGGAAGTGAAGGACTTGAATTGAACCAAAGAATACATGGTTTGCAAGAATAAAATGCCTCAAGGCCTGAAATTTATTGTATGGAAAGATCGAGGACTTGATAGGTAATTCAAACTTTGTGGCTAGGGAGCCTAGGGTTGAATATATATATATATAGAGAGAGAGAGAATTGAAGGGCATTAATTGATGGAAGAGATGCACAGGAATTGAGGAGAGATTCAGGCATTATTATACAATTTACACACATATTTGAGGAGCTGTCTATTGTTGAAATTAAACATATATATACGCATAGAAAACTTGCTAATTGAGAGAGGAGAAAATTTGACTCTACTTTGCAGTCAATTATTGTGGCTCCAATACGCACAGAATTGAGAGGGAAAAATTTGGGAATCAAATTGCTGAAGCTTATTAATTACACACACGAAATTGGAGCTGAGATATCAACACAAAAAATGGGCAGCTTGGAGTCCTTTGGAAAGTCAAATATTACAGGCAACCAATATCATATACATACACGTGCAGAGAAGGAGGCAGTGGACGGTTGGAGAGAAATTGAAAACTAATTACGTTCTGTCAATTAATCTAGTGATGTCTTTCATAATTCCTTGTTTTTCCTCTATTAATATGCGTAGCTAAATATAATAATAGAGCGAACAATGTAACTGATTTGGGACTTTTATTTCTTTTATTTGAGATTATTGTTCTTTTATATTTTATGTGTGAATTTTAATTATGTTTTTAATACTTTGAATTTTCTGGCCAATTATTCAATGATTTCGTAAATAATAATTATGTAGAGATGTGGATTCTTGTTTAGACCACATATTAAAATTCGTTAAATTAATATAACGTGTAGAGATACCTATATTAATTGCTGGGGTCCTATAGAAATTCTTAGAACTGTAAATTCGTTTAATTAAATTTAATTTGCATAGAGATATGTAATTGAACTAATTAAATAGGCTCAACGAGAATTTGAAAGGGGTAAGTTGAATACAATAAAAGAATTCGACCGAACATTATTTTAATTTTATGAATCTCGATATTAGAAATAAAGGTGACCAATAGGTGAAGTTGTTCTACCATAATCTCCATTTATTATTTGAATTCTCACTAATTTTCTGTTTCATTCCCGAGATTTTTAGTAGTTAGATTTAAAAATCACAGTCAATCAAATTTATTATTTATTTATTTATTTATATTCATCAAATAGGAGTTAGGAATAATAAATTGAGTACTAAAGTATAGTCTTCGTGGGAACGATAATTCGGACTCAAAAGATCCACTTTATTACTTGTTACGATCCGTCAACGAGAACAACGAGCTGATACCAACACGGTTAGTGACAAGGTGGAGAGTATGTATAGATTACAGAAAGCTAAACAATGCAACCAGAAAGGATCATTTTCCATTGCCATTCATTGATCAGATGTTGGAGAGGTTGGCCGATCATTCTCATTACTGCTTTCTGGACGGATATTTTGGGTACAATCAGATAGTTATTGCTCTAGAAGACCAGGAGAAAACAATATTTACATGTCTCTATGGAACTTTTGCGTTTAGAAGGATGCCTTTTGGTTTACGCAATGCACTCGCAACTTTTCAACGGTGCATGTTGGCCATATTCTCTGACATGATGGAAAAATACATCGAGGTATTTATGGATGATTTTCTGTGTTTGGAGATTCATTTGATAATTGCTTGGAGGTCAAATCGAATAATTTAGGAAGTGAAGGACTTGAATTGAACTAAAGAATACATGCGTTGCAAAAATAAAATGGCTCAAGGACTAAAATTTATTGTATGGAAAGATCGAGGACTTGATGGGTAATATAGTATTAAAGGCTTTGAATGAGAGTTAAACTTTGTGGCTAAGGTTGAATATATATATATACACAAAATTGAGGTTGAATTTTCAGAGACACACGGAAATCAGAGCAACAAAATTAATTGGAGGGCGGTTGGGATTTGTTTTCTGCCATTAAATTTACACGCACGAAAAATTGAAGGAGAGAGAGAGAGAGGGAACACAACAGATTCAATTTTACAAACTATTCACGTTTCCTCAATTAATCTGGTGATGTCTTTCATAAATTCTTGTTTCTCTCTCAATAATATGCATAGTTAAATTTAATTTTAGGGTGAACAATGTAATCTATTTGGGACCTTTATTTCTTTTATTTGAGATTTTTGTTCTTTTACATTTTATGTGTGAATGTTAATTATGTTTTTAATATTTTGAATTTTCTGGCCAATTATTCAATGATTTCGTGAATAATAATTACGTAGAGATGCGGATTCTTGTTTAGACCACATATTAAAATTCGGTAAATTAATATAACGTATAGAGATACATATATTAATTGCTGCGGTCCAATAGAAATTCGTAGAGATACATATATTAATTGCTGCGGTCCTATAGAAATTCTTAGAACTGTTATTTCTTTTAGTTAAATTTAATTTGAATAAAGATATGGAATTGAATTAATTAAATAGGTTCAACGAGAACTCGAGAGGGATAAGTTGAATACAATAGAAGAATTCGACCGAAAATTACTTTAGTTTTATGAATCTCGATATTAGAAATAAAGGTGACCAATAGGTGAATTTGTTCCGCCCTAGCTAATCCCCATTTATTAATTGAATTCTCACTAATTTTCTGTTGTATTCACGAAATTTCTAGTAGTTAGATTTAAAAATCACATTTAATCATTATTTATTTATTTATTTTCATTAAATAGAAGTTAGGAATAATAAATTGAGTACTAAAGTATAGTTCTTGTGGGAACGATAATCCGGACTCAAAAGATCCACTTTACTACTTGTTACGATCCGTCCACTTGCAAGATAAAATCGACAACAAGTTTTTGGCGCCGTTGCCGGGGACTATTATTTTTAGTCTTAATTAATTAATTTTATTTTATTTTTCTATCTTATTTTTAATTGTTATTTGATTTGCTTATTTTATTTTATTTACAGAAAACTGTGTTCGTTGTATGCTCCGTGCCCAAGGCGACGATCTTGAACCGTTTGATTTAGAAATAGAACGTATCTTCAGACGAAGACACAGGCAACACAAACAAAATCAGCAACATCAAATGGCTGATAATCTAAACAATCCTAACCCTATACAGCCAATTGGACAAATGGCCGCGAGAGCTCAACAGCAAGAGCAAACGGAAGCAAATGAAGGGGACTTGCCAATTTCTATATTTTTGACGCCTATAGCAGAACCCGCGCAGTCCAGCATAGTATATCCAAATTTTGGGGTAAACAACTTCCAGATACGGGCTGATTGGATTAATTTGATGAGCAACACTCTGCAATTCTACAGGTTATCCCATGAGAATCCAAACACACATATCTCAAGGTTTCTCAGGAATTGCCAGAATTGTCATGCTCCTGGGGTTAACGAGGACGCCATCAAGCTGCGATTATTCCCATATACACTGAGAGATGCAGCATTGGAATGACTGGATGTCGAACCGAATAGAAGTATTACCACATGGGAGGAACTGACTAGAAAATTCTGCAATAAGTTTTTTCCACCAGCTAAGGTAGCAAAAATCAGACTGAAAATTCAAAATTTTCAACAGAGAGATGAGGAGAGCTATCACGAGGCATGGAACAAATTTAAGGAGTTGATGAGGAAGTATCCAAATCATGGATGGACTATTGGAAATCAAGTGCAGTATTTCTACACGGGACTTTCACTACTGTCCAAATCTCAAGTGGATTCCTCTGCAGGTGGATCGATCATAGGGAAATCAGTGCAACAATGTATGGATCTATTTGAGTTGATTGTTGCTATTCATTTTATGTTTTCATCAGAAAGAGTGGTGCCTCCAAAAGTAGCGGGAATACACGAATTAGACAGCACAGCATCTACCAACACCCAAATAGCAGCATTGAGAAAACAAGCAGAGTTATTGGTGAAGTCACAAACAATAGGAGCACATGCAGTGGTAGCTGGCCCATCTTGCGAAAACTGTGGCGCAAATCACCTAACAGAAAATTGCACATCTATGGGCTTACCGGAGGAACAAGTCAACTTTATTCAAAATGGCTCTCGAAATTTTAATCCCTTTTCACAAACATATAACATAGGATGGAGACAACACTCAAACTTCAGATGGTCGGATAATCAGCAAGGGAACAGTTCAAACAATGCACAATAGGAGAAAAAACCAAGTTTGGAAGAGATGTTCAACCATTACATGCACAAGACAGACAAGGTGTTCCAGCAGATTGACACTAACTTTCAGAATCAGCAAGCATCCATTAAGAAGCTGGAAACTTAAATTGGTCAGATTGCTCAACAGCTTGCAGAACGCCCACAAGGGACATTGCCAGGCAACACGATGGTCAATCCAAAAGAGCATGTGCAAGCTATTACAACTAGAAGTGGAGTGCAACTTTCAGAGATACATGTAAAGAGACCAGACAGAAAAGACAAAGAAGTAATGGGTAAAGAGGCTGGGACAGAAGTAGAGTATGAACAACCAACTAATGAGGAGAATAAAAGGAAAGAAACACCCACAGTGAGAGCACCTTGCCCCGTGAAAGCTTATGTGCCACCAATTTCCTTCCCTCAAAGGTCACAGAGAAAGAAGTTGGTGATGAGTATAATTCACTCATTAAACTAAAGCTTCTAAATCACGTTTTTTGATGTGTTCTTGGGCATTTTTGAACGTTTTGATGTGTGTGTTCGTGTTGTTTTGCAGTTTGGATAACTCTCGAGAAAATACCACTATTGGGAGCCTGTGATGAGGAAAAATGATGATCAATGAAATGGAGCATGAATAAGAAAGTATTGAATAAGATTGGAGTGGAAAATGGGCTTGGAAAACAAGGTTACCTAGTTGATGGAAACATCTATAGGGATTGAGAATTATGTCGAGAATACGGTGAAATCACTCCCTAGACATTACATAATTTTGATTTAGTTTTTAGAAATTGCCTCCCTTTTATTGCACTATTTAATTCATTGACGTTAGTTTAGTATTCAAGCATTAACTTAACACTCGATTGTCTAGATAAAGTAAACGCGGACACAATTATAGTACTCAGTGGAAGTCGAATATCAATTCCTGTGGGTTCGACACTTTTCAATTCTTTAATATACTACAAAACTTGACACCGTCCGCTTGCGGTATAAAATCACATTATATAAAATGCGTGGCAGTTGGACAAGCAGTTTGCCAAGTTTGTAGAGATTTTCAAGAAACTGTACATCAATATTCTGTTTGCAAATGCAATAGCCCAAATGTCCAGTTATGCAAAATTCTTGAAGGAGATCCTATCTAACAAAAGGAAGCTGGAAGAACATGAGACATTCTGCTTGAACGAGGAGTGCAGTGCAATTCTATTGAAAAAGCTACCTCCTAAACTAAAAGACCCAGGGAGCTTTACGATACCTTGCACAATTGGTTCTAATTATTTTGAACATTCTTTATGCGATTTAGGTGTCAGCGTTAATTTAATGCCTTTCTTTGTTTACAGGCCTCTTGGATCGGGAGAAGTAAAACCTACAACAATCTCATTGCAACTGGCTGATAGATAAATCAAACGATCGAAGAGGATTATTGAAGATGTGCTAGTCAAAGTTGATAAATTCATTTTTCCAGCTGACTTCATCATTTTAGACGTGGAGGAAGATTCAAACATCCCTCTAATCTTGGGAAGACCTTTCTTAGCTACCGGAAGTGCGCTGATTGATGTTTACAATGGAAAGATGATTCTTCGGGTGGACAATGAGCAAGTCATATTCAACATGTTCAAGACGATGAAACATCTACTGACTTCAGACACTTGTTGTCAAGTAGATGTTCTTGAAGAGTTGGTGGTAGATACATTTGAAACAGAGCATCAAATAGTTCTTTATGAAGCAGAAATTGCACAATCAGAAGCAACAAACGTAGGAAAAGCTGAATGTGTTGTCAACTTCGTTGAGCAACCAATACGAAGAAGACATTGACAGTATGAATATCTTGGTGACAACCCTTCACCCCCAGTACCTTCAGTAGAAAAGGCACCTGCTCTTAAACTAAAGCCCTTGCCTTCACACCTTCGTTATGCATATTTGGGAGAATCTACAACATTTCCAGTAATCATTGCAAATGACATGACAATGGAAGAGAAAAATAAATTGTTGGAGGTACTCAAGCAGCACAAAATAGCTATTGGATGGACAATAGCTGACATAAGAGGAATAAGTCCAACTCTTTGTATGCATAAGATTTTAATGGTGGACGGGTCAAAGCCATCAGTGGAAGGACAACACAGATTAAATCCAACCTTGAAAGAAGTAGTGCGAAAAGAAATGCTAAAATTGTTGGATGCAAGTATTATCTATTCAATCTCTGATAGTTCATGAGTGAGTCCAGTGCATGTTATGCCAAAAAAGGGTGGAATCATGGTGGAGAAGAATGAGAACAATGAGCTGATACCAACATGGTTAGTGACAGGGTGGAGTGTATAGATTACAGAAAGCTAAACAATGCAACCATAAAGGATCATTTTCCATTGTCATTCATTGATCAGATGTCGGAGAGGTTGGTCGGTCATTCTCATTACTGCTTTCTGGACGGATATTTTGGGTACAATCAGATAGTTATTGCTCCAGAAGACCAGGAGAAAACAACCTTCACATGTCCCTATGGAACTTTTGCATTTAAAAGGATGCCTTTTGGTTTATGCAATGCACCCGCTACCTTTCAAAGGTGCATGATGGCCATATTCTCTGACATGGTGGAAAAATACATCGAGGTATTCATGGATGATTTTTTTGTGTTTGGAGATTCATTTGATGACTGCTTGGATCGGTTGGCTCTTGTATTGCAAAGATGTGAAGATAAGAACCTAGTGCTAAATTGGGACAAATGCCATTTCATGGTAAAAGAGGGGATAGTGCTGGGCCACAGGATTTCGTCAAAGGGCATTGAAGTTGACAAAGTCAAGATACAAGTGATTGAAAAATTGCAGCCTCCTAATTCAGTTAAGGGGATCAGAAGCTTCTTAAGACATGCAAGGTTTTACAGAAGGTTCATTCAAGAGTTCTCAAAAATTACAAAACCCCTGTGTAATCTACTGGAGAAGGATGTGCCATTTCACTTTTCTGATGAATGCTTAAATGCCTTTAATACTTTGAAAGAAAAGATAACTTCTGCACAAGTGATAGTAGCACCTGATTGGGATAAACCTTTTGAACTTATGTGTGATGCTAGTGAGTTTGCTGTGGGAGTGGTGCTTGGCCAACGTAAACGAAAAGTGTTATATGTAATCTACTATGCCAGCAAAACCTTGACAGATGCTCAGATCGATTATGCAACAACGAAAAAAGAGATGCTAGCAGTGGTCTTTGCCTTCGACATATTTCGTTCCTATCCGATTGGTTCAAAGGTGATAGTCTACACTGACCGTGCAGCATTGAAATATCTGTTTGAGAAGAAGGACGCTAAACTTAGTCTGATTCGATGGGTTATGTTACTGCAAGAGTTTGACTTTGAAATTCGTGACAAAAAAGGGTACAGAAAATCAGGTAGCAGATCATTTATTAAGGCTAGAGCAACTGCATGATTCAAATGATGTGGATATTAATGAGGTCTTCCCAGATGAGCAGTTATTACAGATAGAAAATGCTTCGTGGTATGCAGACATTGTTAATTACTTAGCTAGTAGCTATATGGATCCTAATCTCACCTATCAGCAGCAGAAGAAGAAGTTGCTTCATGAAGCGAAATTCTATTATTGGGATGATCCAAATTTATACAGAAGATGAACATACCAGATCATTAGGAGATGTGTGCCAGAGGATGAGATGAAACCTATCCTTTCACGGGTTCATGCTTCGGCTTATGGAGGACACTTTGGCCCTACTAAAACAGCAGCAAAGGTGTTTCAATGTGGTTTCTTTTGGCCTACACCGTTCAAGGATTGCCATAGTTTCTGCAGGTCTTGCGATAAATGTCAGAGAACACGTAACATATCAACGCGTCATGAAATGCCACTTAACAACATTTTGGAGGTGGAAATATTTGATGTTTGGGGGGTTGATTTTATAGGTCCTTTTCCACCATCTTATAACAATCGGTACATCCTAGTGGCATTGGATTATGTCTCTAAATGGGTAGAAGCTAAAGCCTTGCCTACAAATGACGCAAGGGTGGTGGTGGACCTCATAAAGAAACACATCTTTAACTACTATGGATCACCTAGGGCCATAATAAGTGATGGTGGAACTCATTTCCGCAATCGATTATTCTAGGTAGTGCTACATAAGTATGAGGTACAACATTGAATTGCCACTCCTTACCACCCTTAGACAAGTGGAAACCTCGAACAGACATTTGAAAAGAATTCTGGAGCTCACTGTGGATGCATTTCGCAAGGATTGGTCAAAAAAATTAGGAGATGCTTTATGGGCATATCGCACTGCTTACAAGACATCTATTGGGATGTCCCCATATCGACTAGTCTTTGGAAAAGCATGCCACCTACCAGTGGAGTTTGAACATAAAGCATACTGGGCATTGAAACAGCTAAACATGGACCTCGAAAACGCTGGAGAAACAAGAATACTGCAGCTACATGAATTGGAAGAACTCAGAAGAGAAGCATATGAGATGCAGGTATCTATAAGGAAAGGACGAAGCAGTGGCATGACAAAAATATCAGGCAAAGGATTTTTAGAGTGGGAGATCAAGTGCTTTCATACAATTCTAGACTTAAACTGTTTCCAAGTTGAAATCTAGATGGTCCGGCCCTTCTACGGTCTCTCAAGTGTTTCTCCATGACACAGTTGAATTACACCATCCAACAAAAGGAAACTTCAAAGTAAATGACCAACGTATCAAGCACTACGTGAAAGATTTTCCCACCGCTAAAGAGAGCATTGACCTAGCTGTACCAGAATAATAGCAGCACAAAGTCCAGCTAATGACTTAAAATAAGCGCTTATTGGGAGGCAACCTAATTTTCAATTTTTTTTATTTTACTTTTTGTATTGCATAGCATATAGTTTTGTTTTGTTTACTAGTTTGCATTAGATTTAGGCATGTTTCAATTTTTAGGAGTCATCACCCATATCCCTTCCGTCCTTAGGCCCTTGAATTTATTGTTGGTTATTTTGATTATTTGAGTTAAGTAACCCTTGTTCCCTATCTTTAATTTGTCAAATTTGATTTTTCAGGAACATGACGTCGTGGAACACTCAAACCAACATAGATCTAAGGGAAAGCATGATGAAGAATATTATCCAGTCATCTCACATTGTGCCTCACACATTCAACAGAAAAATTTGGGGAGAACCTTCTTTTTTTTCTTCCCTACCCCCTTTATGTGTTTATTTATGCTTTATGACATTGATGACAATGTCAGTTTTAAGTTTGGGGTGAAAAAATTTTTAGTTTTAGTTTTTTTTTTTATGTTTTTGTGTGTTTGCTAAAAAAAAAAAATCGAAAATTTAAAAGAAAAAAAAAAAACCTTTTGTTTAGTTGTGTGCTTTTGTGGGTTAGACAGTCTGGCAGATCATGATGATTTAATTTGAGATTTGGTGTTGACTTATGAACTGTGGATAGGATGCATACTAGACTAATTGAGGCTCAACCTTGCAAAATTTGATATTACAAGCGCACTATAATTGAGTTTGACATTATGATTAAATGAGTTGTTTCTTGCTTTGGATAGGTTGATCTAGTTGGACATAGATGGTTTACCTAAACCATATTAAATTATTTATTCTTAGACCAAATTTAGCATAATTTGGGGGTGACTTTACAGTTGTAAGAAGATGCGGATGTGAATGTGAATTCCATGTGTAAAAACTTATGTGTGGATTATCTTAGGCTAACATGATAAAACTCTGCGAAAGTTTTAAGTTAGAGGTCGGTTTGTTTGAATAAGTGTGTGATAAAGGACATTACACTAATCAAGGCATATACATTTGAAAATTTTAAACTTTTCTCTGAAACCTTTATGACTCGAGTAATTAAGTCTGTAAAAGTATTTTAAAACCTGTGCCCAAAAGTCGTCTGACTTGGGAGTTATCGGCCTAAAACTCGTTACAAGGGTCATTTAGAAAGCAATTAGAGACGAAGTTGTACTTGAAAAAAAAAATTCTCTTCGAAGCCTTTTTGACTCGGGTCAGTAAGTTTGTAAGGGCATTTAAAAATTTGGTGCCCTAAAATCATCTGGTTTGGGAGTCATCGCCTAAAGCCTGCTACAGGGGTCATCTCGAAAGTTTAATGTAGAGAATATATATATATACACACACACACACACACACACACACTCGTGAAAAATAGAAAAAACAAGTGCATGAAAAGAGCTAAAGCACTAAATATCTTGGTTAAACCCTAACACTTATTTGAGGGAATTCGACTTTTGATGCAAGATAATTAGCTAGTTGAGTCTTGGTGGTCGAAACAATCAAATAATTGGAGAATCCCTATTCACTGAAGTGTTGACTTGCAACTACGAACGTCCACCTAAACTCGAGAGGGTGAGGATAGTAATGAAATATTCAGCCTTAGATTACACACTGGAAAAGAGTGAAAAAGAATAAATTTGGGAGTGTGTGAATCTTATGAGTGATGAAATGATATATATATTACCATTAAAGGTCGAGAATTGAAACAATTTGTGCAGTCATGGTTGATTACTCGATTCTTCACACACATGTCAATTTTTGCATTGGAAGAGTGGATATTAGTTTGGTACTGTGACTTTGAAACATGTTTATTGAGTAAACACTAAATCTTGAATCCTGAGGTGAGAAGCTAGATTGTCCAACCGAATATTTTTGCATGCTTGTGTGTAAATAAATATTTATTTATAGTTTTGTTTGAGGACAAACAAATGTTTAAGTTTAGGGGTATTTGATAAGTGTATTTTATACACTTATTCGGTACCTTAAAATAAAGATATTTGATGGTTCTTTTGATATATTATATCCTAAAATAGGTAAATTCTATGAATGAAAAGGGAATTGAAGGAATGTAGCAAAAAAAGGGGCAAAATTAAAAAGTTGGGGACCAAGTTGTAAAAATTCAATAGTTGATTCGGACCATGAATCAAAGATTGAAATGTTTGGAGGTCAAATTGAATAATTTAGGAAGCGAAGGACTTGAATTGAACTAAAGAATACATGGGTTGTAAGAATAAAAGGGCTCAAGGACTTAAATTTATTATATGGAAAGATCGAGGACTTGATGGGTAATATAGCATTAAAGGCTTTGATTGGGAGTCAAACTTTGTGGCTAGGGTTGAATATATATATATATATATATATATATATATATATATATATATATATATATATATACACACACACACACACACACACAACTTGTGTGTTAATTATTATTTATTTATAGTTTTGTTTAAGGACGAACAAATGTTTAAGTTTGAGAGTATTTGATAAGTGTATTTTATACACTTATTCGGTACCTTAAATAGTAATATTTGATGGTTCTTTTGACAAATTATATCCTAAATTATTGTTTCTTATTTTTAATAGGTAAATTTTATGAATGAAAAGGGAATTGAAGGAATGAAGTAAAAAAGAGCGAAATCCAAAAGTTGGGGACCAAGTTGTAAAAAGTCAATAGTTGATTCGGACCATGAATCAAAGATTGAAGAATTTGGAGATCAAATCCCATATTTTGGAAAGTGAAGGACTTGAATTGAATCAAAGAAAAAATGTGTTGCAAGAATAAAAGGGCTCAAGGATTGATTGCATTACCTTGGAAGACGGAGGACTTGAAGAATAATTTAAGTAATAATGGCTTAAATTGACGGTTGATTGGACATCTACATGCATGCATGAATTAAACTCCTTTTTTAAGTGAAATAAAGTGGCCGCAGACACGGGTTGAGAGGAATTGAAGTCATTTTTAGAGTCTTTTATTTAGTCAACAAAGGTGGCTACTAGGTTGGAGGATATATATACACACACGTACAAACCTAGAAAAATGGAGGATGGACGGCTATTGTTAGGGGGGGGAGAGAGAGAGAGAGAGAGAGAGGAGTCCTTTTGTTAGTCAACTAGGGTGGCTACTAAGTTTTTAGAGTAATATATATATATATATATATACACATCACAGAAAACGAAAAAAAAGGAGGAGAGAGGGGATTTGAGAGGCAGCCAATTTATTATATTTGACACACTTTTTGAGGCTGCAGATATTCACACACACGTTGAGAATTTGGGAGAGAACACACAGCAGCCAAGTTTATATTTTTTCATACAGAATTGAGGCTGAATTTTCAGAGACACGGAAATCAGAGCAACAAAATTAATTGGAGGGCTGCTGGGATTTGTCTTCTGCCATTAAATTTACACGCACGGAAATTGAAGGAGAGAGAGAGAGAGTAAACACAACAGATTCAATTTTACAAACTATTCACGTTTCCTTAATTAATCTGGTGATGTCTTTCATAAATTCTTGTTTTTTTCTCAATAATATGTGTAGTTAAATTTAATTTTAGGGCGAACAATATAATCTATTTGGAACCTCTATTTCTTTTATTTGAGATTTTTGTTCTTTTACATTTTATGTGTGAGTTTTAATTATGTTTTTAATACTTTGAATCTTCTGGCCAATTATTCAATGATATCATGAACAATAATTACTTAGAGATGCGGATTCTTGTTTAGACCACATATTAAAATTCGGTAAATTAATATAACGTGTAGAGATACCTATATTAATTGCTGCGGTCCAATAGAAATTCTTAGAACTGTTATTTCGTTTAATTAAATTTAATTTGTATAGAGATATGGAATTGAATTAATTAAATATGCTCAACGAGAACTCGAGAGGAATAAGTTGAATACAATAAAAGAATTCGACTGAACACTACTTTAGTTTTATGAATCTCGATATTAGAAATAAAGGTGATCAATAGGTGAATTTGTTCCGCCCTAGCTAATCCCCATTTATTAATTGAGTTCTCACTAATTTTCTGTTGCATTCACGAAATTTCTAGTAGTTAGATTTAAAAATCACATTTAATCATTTTTTTATTTATTTTCATTAAATAGAAGTTAGGAATAATAAATTGACTAGTAAAGTATAGTTCTTGTGGGAACGATAATCCGGACTCAAAAGATCCACTTTACTAGTTGTTACGATCTGTCCACTTGCAGGATAAAATCGACTTCAAACAACGTTCAAAATTTCATTAATTGCTTACTCAGAATCCTCATTTAACAACTTGTCGACACAAGTATTCCAACAAACAAAGAGAGAAATCTTTAATTTTTGATAGATGATTGACAAGAAGTTCAGGTGTTGCCACAACTGTTGAAATGTGGAAGCGGAATTAATCAGAAATTAAAATTTTCTTTAATTCAATAAGCAAGACCGTCTAGATGTTCACGTATGTGTTATAACAAAGTTAAAGGATTCGAATATTTTACCTAAGTTCAATGATCAACCTTGAAATAACTTTGATTTGCAAACTTCCGTCTCCTTTAATTGCAAGAATCTTGATGCTCAAAACCTTCAAGCTTTCTATGGTGTTTTCCAACGCAAAGACTATACCGGTGTGTGGGCACCTTCTTTCAATTAATCCAGAAACCAATTCTTGAATTTTTGGTCAACAAGAAAATAAAATACTTTCTCTCTCCACAAATTTGAATATTATGGAATTATGAATATTATAATATTTTTCTATCCATCTAGTCTCTATTTATAGATAAAAAGATGATATAATTCCACATTCAAACAAAATTTTTAATTAAAACTCAAGTAGGAGTTCTAATTTAAATCTAATTCTAATTATCTTACATTTAATTGCACATGTAGTCCTAGAACTTCAATTACAATTATAATTAAGTTTATAACTTTCATAGTAATTACAACCAAGTACAAAACTTTATTATAATTACAATTAAGCCCAAAACTATTATA